AGGATACCCAAGATCCTAATGTACAGCCAGTTAGATCAGGGCTACAGGAATGTAGGACGTCCATTGCTAGTATAATAAGACAGGCTGAAAAGCAACTTGTCAGCAGTCAATACACCACATAACACCCTTGAGAGCTTAGCCTTGGAGCGTGTAGAATGGAGATCAACGTGTTTTAGTGGACTCAGCAATTTTCAATCTGCTTGTCTGAATCCTCTTCAAGAATCGAGAGCAAGATCTAAAAGGTCAGCCAATCTAACAGTGATCGTATTTCACAATCCTCACACTTGCTCCATATGTGGCCTCCTTTGTAAATCACTAGCGGATCTTAAATGCCACTTCAGATTATCGCATAACTGAATCAATAAGCTGTCAGATACTCATACGTCGAAACCGACGGGAGAATCCATTATATATATATATATATATATATATATATATATATATATATATATATATATATATATATATATGATAAAAATATAGTCTTATATGGTTCTGTATTCATTTTTATTTTTGGTAATATTCATAATAGCTCGTCTAATTTAGCCATCAGCAGTTTAATTAAGGAAGACATTATTAATGAGGGTTTGTTTAATATTTTTTTTAATTCAGTGTAGAAAATCTTTTAGTGAAGAATTTGATTTTGATCGGTGTATTAAGATTTGCACAATAGCTATTTTGTAACAGAACTTTCATTTTCAGAACTGAGAGTACATATCTTTATAATTGTTGTTTTTTTTATAAAGAGAGATATTAAAAGTAATATTATTCTTACTGTCTATCAATAGATCAGTACAGAGTTTTTGGAAAGTTTTCTTGCAGTTCATCCATGTGTTTGACTAAAATGAGTATGTCATCTACATAACTTAAGTCTGAATGTGTGTCTGTCTAACGGCGCATATTATATGCAAATATATACACATAAATACACACTTCGGCATATATATCTGTACGCAAGAATATATACAAAATATATATATATATATAAAGAAATGGACAAGGTCCGACAATTTATTTATTAAAGACATATTTTATGTTTAACGTTGTTATTTTATAGATACAAGTATTTAAGCAAATGCTCTGTTTATGATAAACAGTATTAAATAACATTTTCCGGCCTGAATGTCCGAGAAATTTTCATATGACAGGATTCGAACCTGCATCCTATACGGAACCGTCATTTACGCTGACGTGCCTTACCGCTTAGGCTACAAAGAAGCGTTCGGTAGACAAGGTCGAATTTACTGCTTATAAACTCCAATTTTCCATGAATCTTGTACATTCATAACTGCTCTGGCGTATCGAATGTAAACAAATATATATATATATGAGAGCCCACACACCAACTACCTCCCATATACGTACACGTATATACACAGATCTCTAATGCATTTATTATGCGTTTAGCTACGTATAACTTTCTCATTTTTATGAAATCATTTAGCCAATTATATAATATCCATATAATCTCAAAAAACATATATATATATATATATATATATATATATATATATATATATATATATATATATATATATTATTTGTGAAGAATATTCAGGATTATACAACTCGTATATCATCTCATTACTTTGCCCGTACATAGTCCACTTGATCCATTTCCCTATGCAAAACATACCTGGTGCTCTACGCCAACTAATTAACAGAGAGAAGACTTTCTGTCGATTGAAACAAATCGCTTCTTTTTAAACTCGGCCGATGTCCTCTTGTGATAACGATCGTTCCTCGTTAACAAACTCTGCAGAAAAGGCCATTTTGCAAATTAAAAATATACAAGAACAAAAATGAAGGAAGAAAAAAAAAACAAACAAAAAACAAAACAAGAAAGTTTAAAGCGGATGCAAATATATTTTACAATTAGGCATGAGAAGCCAAGGTCGCACAGAACGGTTCTAACTTTCAATGTGAACTTTTTTTCGCTCGATAAACATATTGAATCCACAAATGAATTATCGAGAAAAAAAGGGTAAGAATTAAATAAATTTATTTAACCTCTATAACAACAAACCCTCTCTGGCTCTAATATATATATATATATATATATATATATATATATATATATATATATATATATATGTGTGTGTGTGTGTGTGTGTGTGTGTGTGTTTGATTATTCACATGTGTTTTGCCCACCTCTCATTATGAGTGCATCCTTTTTCGTGACAGAGATCAAACATCTCGTTCTTTTTTGGTCAGTTCCTCAGATTATTGGTAAATTGATTTTATCGATTTTTACTTGTAACAAACGGTTATACGACAAACAAATTGATCACTTTAAATTCATCTATACACACATATGCAGCGGGAGACATACAAATTATAATTCGTTGTATTTCTCTACAACTACTTTTACTTCTTTCTTTCTTTCTTTCTTTCTTTCTTTCTTTCTTTCTTTCTTTCTTTCTTTGCTTTTCTCTTCCTCTGCCTCTACTTGTTTCTTTCATTGATACTAAGCATTTCATTTCTTTTCTGTGTTTCTTTAGTGTGTAATTATTTCTCTCTGCATTTAAGATTTATTTACTATCTCTCTCAATACACACACACACACACACACATATATATATATATATATATATATATATATATATATATATATATATATATATATATACATTCCATTTCATTAAGAGATAGATAAATATATATATATATATATATGGTCACATCTATATAATATAATTTTCCTATTTCAGATGGTTGCCGCGAAAATGATAGTGTTCATACATAACTTCTCGATGTGTGACAGCGTCAATGAAAGTGAATAAAGTGAATACAGTACAGTTGTTTGTAGTACTATAATAATTAGTTACATTACTTTTTGGTAGGGAATGACAAGACATTCGGACCATACTGTATGTAAGTGTGCGTGGATATATATATATATATATATATATATATATATATATATATATATATATATATAATCATTGGCCACTTAAGTAAGTACATATGACTAAATACAATTTTCTGCAATATTTTTATGCGTCAAAGATTTACCATGAATTCGATGTATTTAGGCATTTACAAATGGTTAATGGGATTCGCTGAATTTCATTTCCGGCATTCGTATGTATAAAAGTCATTTTCAACATGGCATGGTATCAGATGCAGATATATCTCTAGGATTTAAAGAGAAGGGATAGAGAAAGTAAATAAGTTATAATGGATCTATGTAGAACATCATTTCTAAATACACACCATTGCGAATCAGATTACCTATTGCAACAGAAGACCACAGCCGTTTCCAACTTGTCAGATAAGAACAAATAACTGGATGTTAATAGAACAGCGTAAACAGCTGAAAATCAAATTGGATTCAACAATTCCTGGAAGTAAATCTCATGGAGTACCTCATCATTGTATTTGAAAGGGAGATTCGAATATATATCAAACAAAATAATCTCAGAGAATTGTAAGGATGCCATAAAAATGGCATGCGCATATACTTTAGAATCTATTAGAAGATGAGCAGAGGAGATTTTATAGACAAAAAACGGGCTCCAACAAGATACGAGAAAATTGTATCCTGTAAATTAAACGCTGACTCTCTCTCTCTTCCTCTCTCTCTCTCTCTCTCATATATATATATATATATATATATATATATATATATATATATATATATATATATATATGCGTGTGTGTAAGCAAATATATGGATATAGATCCGACAGTATGAAGAAAAATATATACGGAAAAAACAAAACAAAAATCATTATACACAATTATACTGTTTTAAATATTAAACAAGACGTTTCAAACAAAAACCATCTACAGGACATATTCATTAATATAACATTATCAATACAACAATACAAATACGAAATGTTCTACATAAGTTGTAACAAGACTTATCCAAATGAATAACTGAAAGATTTATAATAATATGGATCGAAACGTCCGACGTGACATATTAACATTAAAACAGCATAATTGTATATAAGAATTTGTTTTTGTTTTTTCCGTATATTTTTTTTTTTGTAGATATATATATATATATATATATATATATATATATATATATATATATATATATAAAAAAAATATATATATATATATATACATACCTATATATATATATATATATATATATATATATATACAAATGTATATATATATATCTATATATATATATACAAATATGTATATATATATATATATATATATATATGAAGAAATATGAAAAAATTTTGGCCTGACGATTGCGTCCAGCATGAAACAGACTGTTGCCTCTAAGTGTTGACTTCAATTCAATGTTATATATATATATATATATATATATATATATATATATATATATATATATATATATATATATATATATATAAAGGTGCTAATTACATTATTTACATTGTTCGGACTATATTTATTGTCATATTTATTTCCATATCCACAACGTTTCGGCAAATGTCCGCTCCAGCCTTTTTCAGATGACTGGAATCACCTGAAGAATGCCGGAACCTGCATTGACCGAAACGTCCTGAATACGACAATACGATAAAGATGAGAAAAACATGAATCGAATAGGACAAAGATGAGAAAAAAAAGTCCGAACAATGTAAATAATGTAAGTAATTTTAGTATTTGCTCTGTTAATTTATACGCAATCCTCAGAGTAAATCAATGTATTAAATAAATAATTTTAATGCATTAAATAGTAATTTTAAATGCATTTATATAGCAAACTCATAATAATGATAATAATTCATTGGGGACAATGCAAAACATTGTCCTCAGGTAGGCAGATAAGAGTTACGGCCATTTGTAATCTAGAATGAGCAAGTGTCGAAAAATAATTGAAGTTACCTTCGGGTGTGTGGTTGCTGTCAGAAATGGGAGGCGGAGTATTTACCATGCCTTTTTTTTCAAAACGAGGCCATTCCGAACACCGGAAGGGATGGGATACGCGGTTCTGCCAGCTTGTTCCTTCCGGCCTGCCTTCCCTCCATTCTAATCATTTTTTATTTTTTTGTGAGACGGATTTTATGAGAACAAAGTCGTTCTGGGGGTTCTCTTCTTCTCACATGGTTAATTGATTCCTGACTGAATTTTGGATCGCAAGACTAGGCAGTGTTTCGCAACACTTACTGCCCCTGACCGGCTTCTGATCTACCCTTTGAATCGAAAGGAATTTTCGACACAAGTGAAAATCAAGTAGGATACAACTGTTTTGACTGACAAGCGCTTGGAGAGAAATCGCACTGATATTCTAATTATGCACAAGAGTAGCCATGAATGAATCCTCGTAGAATTCGCGGTATCTTAAAGTAAAGAAAATCAGACAGAGTGGGCGAAGGTGCAGTGGCACCAAAACCTGACAAAGAAAATCACAGAAATATACGATGCTGTAGCTCAAGTTGCCTCTTTTGTCGTTGGCGCATTGAAATATTTCTAAGAATCTTCCCGCTGCGCAGAACGCCTTGCTACCTGATATCAGCAGGAGTGTGTTGATGGCAACCTTACCTGGAACTGCCCATGTGCTGAAGAAGATTTTGTGTCTCTAAGCCACAGATATCAGCTGAGATAAGATCATCATAGAATCGAAGAGGATATCAGAGAATAATAACAATTTCAAGTACAATAGCAAAATAATTTCCAATTAGTTCCTATATATATACTTTTGCACTTTTTACTACACTTCTCTGTATACAACCATGCATGTTCTTATTTAATAAATAATTGTAATGTATTTCAATAGAAAACAATTTCAGAGCAATTTTATTCATTTTTTGAATCTCTACGTCAGATTTCAGTATTTGTGGCATTATCTATCTATCTATCTATATATATATATATATATATATATATATATATATATATATATATAAATGTAAAAATCTCTTAAAATAACTGTTTTACTTTGTCCATTCAATATATATATATATATATATATATATATATATATATATAATGTTTCATTAAAATGACTTACAAGGTACTACGGTTAAGCTTTTTATTTAATTTTTCATATCTTCGAACAAGTACTTTCTTTTTGGTACAAAGAATATGTAGAAACTGTCCAATGTTTATATAGTTCTGAGCGATTTCGGCTATACTTTTAGCCATTATCAAGGATGATTTTATTTATTCCGTTTAATTCAGTGTGTGCGTTATTTTTAATGTGTTATTAAGTTGTTTTATTTTCCGAACACGGTTAGCACATTGTGGCCTTGTTCGTAGTTAATATTGTTAAGAGTTAGCTTTTTCTTTTTTATTATTAGAGCTTCCATTATTTTTAATCTTTTTTTACACGTGGATGAGGTTATTATGTTTGCGTTTTCTACTAGTATGTTTCGAATGGAGTCTGGCAAGTTTGTGCGTATGTGTTTAAATGGGTTCTCATAGAGCTCTTGTCAGATAGGTGTAACGTAAGTCATCTGGATAAGCATGTAGTTGTGTGACCGTTGCAATTATTTATGAGTTCGATTTGATCAGGAACACAGTTCCTTGAGGAGCATTTGAACTCATAGATAATGTTCGTTCGTTGTAATTTTGACTTGATTGGTATGTGTTTATTTTTGTTTTGTTTTTTTAAGGATAAGGTGAGCTATTTTAAATTTTTTGTAGTAGATAATTTATTTGATTTTCTTAATTCGGGTCCATTGTGGTAATGTATAGCTTTATAATATTTCTAAGTGAAGATTCATCTTATTTGTAGTTAATGTGCATTTGGGTTTTGTATAAAATATTTATATAATTTTTTACTTTATGTTCACTATCGTTGTTATTTACTTTGGGGAGAAATAATCTAATTTGGTGGTCTATAAGTTTGTTAGGGAAACCATTGTCGATTAGTGCCTTTTTTATATTATTGCATTTTACATTTTGGTAATTAAGTGAAAGCAGTTTTGTTTTGGAGGCGTTTACAAACCATTTCTTGAAAATGTTATCCACATATTAGAGATCCTTATTGTCCGAATTTGCCAGACTTACTTTGTCGGAACTGGCAGACTTGCTATTAAGCTCGGAGTAAATAGTTGTATCATTTGCACAAATATATTATCGAGAACTAATGACATCGAGAAGATTATTGATGAAAATCAGAATCAACATCTAGAATGACACAGTAAACCAACTTTCTAACAATATTATTTTTAAATAAATACTTTAAATTCATTTCAGATTTAGAAATAGATTTCACATCCACTCCAATTTGTTTCTTAATATGATTACAGCCTTTGCTTCATAATTCTATAATAATTAGAATAAATATAATTTTTTTTATTATATACTAGCAGGAGAGCCTGCCGTTGCCCGGGGATGTAACAGTAAGAGATAGATCAAGTATCAACCATCATAAAGACTGAAAAATAAAATTGACAAAGATTATTGTTTAAGGTTGACGGACATGCATGTCTTAATTAGTTTTATTTTTTTGTTTTGTTTTTGTTTTGTTTTTGTTTTTTTTTTTACGAATTGGTCAAACCCAAACTCAAATAAAAACATTGTTTTCAATCGTTATGAGTCTACCGATTGAATAGA